CCTGCCCCCCGCCCGTCCGTGTGCAGTGTCTGCTCCTGACGCCACCGCGCGTGTCAGTCCCACGCCGAAGCCCGCAGGGCCTGTGGGGAAGCGGGGCTGGGCTTGGCATTCACACCTGTCAGCGCTGTGTTGGAGGAAGGACAGGAGCTCAGTAAAAAACACCGTCCTAGCCGTGTTAAGTGGTTAAGAACTACCTAACGCCCACAGTCAGCGTCCGCAGGCAGGAGCACACCGCCCCTCTGCCGTGTGTGAGTGAGGATGGGAGAGAGCTGTCGGGGAGGCCCAGGGCTGAGCGCCAAGGACCTGAGGGGGCTGGGAGAGGGCAGGCGGCAGCCCGCAAGTCCCGTGAGGCCGTGGCCCGAGGGAAGTCGTGGTCCGGTGGGGAGGCGCAGTCCCGCGTGTTCTCACGTGCCCTGGCTCAGCCGGGGCAGCTTGGCACGCACCCAGACGTTGTCACGTGCAATCGTCCACGAGGAAGCACAGATGGTGTTCAGTCCAGTTCGTGGTGGATCAGTTGCATTGGAACGAGTCTGTTTCAAAACCAGCTCTCTCGTTACCTGTGTTCTGGTGGGAGTCTGAGGACAGGGCAGGGGACAGAAAAAAGGACACAGCAGCTCCGAACCCCACGGCTGAAGTGTGGTATTTCCCCCCAGAACTTGACGTACGAGATTATCCTCACGCTGGGGCAGGCCTTCGAGGTGGCCTATCAGCTGGCCCTGCAGGCCCAGAAGTCGCGGCCGATGGGGGCCCCCGCACCTGAGACCATAGAGACGAAATCTTCCAAACCGGTGCCCAAGCCTCGGGTCGGCGTGAGGAAACCCGCAGTACGTGGCCTGTCCCCGCAGCCCTTTCTGCCTGGCCCAGGGGTCGGGGGCCCCGGGTGGAGCCAGGCCTGAGGAGGGTCCCCTCGCACTTGCAGACAGCCGGCCCTGGGGGAGGCCCAAGCCCAGGCTGCCGGGGGGGTGCAGAGAGCCTGGCCCGCAGCAGCCCCAGTGACTGGTCCCCACGTCTACGTCTGCTCTGCTCTGCACCCCAGGTGGCGCTGCCCCCTGATAGTCGCTGTTGTCACTGTCACACCTGCACCACCCACCGCCCTTCCTACCTACCGCTGCCGTCTGTCAGTCCTGGAGTCAAGGTCTTTACGCCTCCTGCTGTCTTGTGTGTCCGTCTCCCTGAAGTGACGTGAGCCTCCTTCCCCCGGGGGCCTCCCTCTGCCTGCCTGACCTTTGCTGAGATGCCCCCTGTGTGTGCTTCAGCCCCATCTGTGCTGTGTGTCCTCTCTCTGGAGGGCTGGGCTGCCTGCCACGGTCTTGCCTCTCTGGCCCCCACAAGGGACCCGGGCTTGGCATTTCCAAGCCCCATGTCTCCGCCTGCTGCAAGTGGGTTGGGGGCTTAGATCAGGAGGCTCAGATAGGGCCAGGTCCCTTTAACAGAGCCAGTCCCAGAAAGCCCTGGGAGAAGTTGTCCCTGGAGGTGCCCCCCCCCAAAAAAATACCCCAGAG